GAAAAATAGCTCTGTGTATCAAGAGTTAAAAAATATTCATAACCTAGACCAGTAATTTCACTTTTAGGAACATTTCTTAAAGGAAATAACTAGAAATTTAGACACATGCAAAGATGATTTTGTGTTTTTTGTAATAGTGGCATGGATGAATGGAAGAAAAGGAGGAAAGAAGAAAAAGAAAGAAAACAAGGGAGGAAGGAAAGAGAGAAAATAAAAAAAAATTTAAAACAACCTAATAATATTCTATTATCAGGGGAATGGTTATGTACAATTTTAATTTGATGTGTTTTGCAGATAGAAAGCTAATTTTATTTATCTCTAACCACACTTGATATTTTTCATGCATGAAAACCTTTATAGGTTAAGAAAGTTAAACATTCCTTATGGAAATAATAAGCAAATAATTTAAACAGGGAATTTACAATGAACATATGACTAATAAACATATTTTTAAAAATTGAAACACTAATTGTCATATAAATTTAAATTAAAAAAACTGGAAGCTCTCATTCTTTGCTGCAAAGAATGGCAATGATTTTTAAATTAGTTTTTGATGCTGCCAAGAAAGCAGAGGGTCTTTCTGTATAAAAAGCTTCTAAATATGCCAAAATATTCAGAGCCTAATTAAGATTTCTTAAAATTTTCTTTGTAGGAACTTGCTTCTCCCCCAAATTAGTTAGATACTGAATGAAAGGTAAAAAAGAACTATGATGATTATTGCTATCTGGAAGAAGCTACTCTAAAAAGGCTACATAGTGTGTAATTCTATTTTTATGACATTCTAGAAAAGGCAAAGCTACAGAACCTGTAAACAAGTCGGTGGTTGCCAGGAATTCAGGAAAGGCTGAATATGTGTAATACAGAGGGAGATTTAGGGTGGTGAAACTGTAATGGATCACATGTATAGTGGACACATACCACTATACATTTGTCAAAATCCATAGAATTTTACAGCACAAAGAGTATAAACTTTAACATATGTAAATTAGGGAGATAGATGGGATATTGGCATGGGTGTTTGGTGGAGGGAGAGTAGAACATGTATGTGCACATTTGGAAATGCAAAAATGTAGCCCCAAACATTAAACAGTTTTTTATTTGATTTTTGTTTAATTTTTTAAAATTTTTATTAATTTTTAAATTTTTTTTTTTTTTAAAGATTTATTTATTTATACAAGCACTGGGTACAGTCAGAAGTGCGGGAGGGTGAGAGAATTCACCAGAGCCAGAGCAAGGAGCAGAGCAGGCAGAAGGACCAAAGTACACTGGGGGAGCAGCGGGCGGCAGGAGAGGTCCGCGCGCCATGTGGGACCCTCCTCCAGTGGCCGGGGAGCAGCCGGGGATTGAACCGGCGCTGCAGAGCCTGCGGGCAGCTTCGCAACCCAGCGCCCAACCGCTGCGCCACCAGGGAGGCCCAATTTTTAAATTTTTTACATCATTGTTCATTTTTATTTTTTTGAAGATATTTATTTTATTTTATTTTTTTATAATAAATTTTATTTTTATATTCCCCATACAATTGCAACCCCCCCATTCTGACCCTCCCCTGGTGGCGCAGGTGGTTGAGCGCAGTGCTGTGAAGCTGTCCATTGTTCATTTTTAAACAATATTTGCTTCCCCCATGCCCTCAGGTGTAGTCCCCATAGAGTTTCCTTCACCAGTGCACCTGTGCACCATCACCTCAGTCCCCTATGCTCCTCCCTCCCCCCCCTGATCCCTCTCCCTCCTCCTCCCCTGCAGGATGTCTCTGGTTTATGTTTGTGTTTTTGCTTTGTTGTGTTTTGTACTGTTATTATTTTTTTTACACTGATGTCTTATTTGGTTCCCCTATATTCTTGCTATAAGTGAAACCATCCAATATTTTTCTTTTTCCTTCTGGCTTTTTCACTGAGCATAATTCCTTCTAGTTACATCCACATTGCTGTGCGAATGTCATGAGTTTATCTTTTTTGATTGCTGAATAATATTCCAGTGTGTCTATATGCCACATCTTCTTGATCCAGTCATCTATTTTTGGGCATTTGGGTTGTTTCCAGGTTTTACCTATTGTAAATAGTGCTGCAATAAACATAGGGGTACAGGTATTCTTTTGAATCAATGTTTTTGTGTCCTTTGGTAGATCCCTAGTGGTGGAATTGCCGGGTCATATGGTAGCTCCATTTAGTAAGTAGACTGAGGAACCTCCAGACAGCTTTCCATAGTGGTTGGACCAGTTTGCACCCCCACCAGCAATGTAGGAGAGTTCCTTTTTCACCACATCCTCACCAACATTTGTTGTTGCTTGTTTTTTTGATATGTGCCATTCTTACTGGTGTAAGGTGGTATCTCAATGTGGTTAAACAGTTTTTTAGATTAAAAAAATGCAAATTTTAAAAAAATCAGGAGAATGGAATACAAAGTGTGACAAAGGCATGTAACTATGTACTAACTGTATGAAATCAAATCACTGAAAGGCAGGAAAGGAAGGAAGTGCTGACCTAAGTAACTCTGGAAATGAGAAGAGTCTGTAGATCAAAGACAAAAGAAAAGTGTAAATAATGTAGAACACATAAACACTGTGCTCTAGTTTCTCATGGGCAACGTTAAAAATTCTGAAGCTACTATACATGTGCACTGAAATGGAACAATTAAGTAAATGGTTGGCAGATGGTGAGAGCCACATTTCCACTGTTAGAGTGGGAGGCTACAAACAAGGAAGGCTAGAATGATGAAATTGATAATGGATTTGAGTTGCTGGACATCAGTATGAATCTACCTTCATGTTTATCTTAGTACAGATACAAATGGCTACATTTAGCACCATTTATACACATGTGCATATACTCAGGTTACTGTACACACTTTTTTTTTTTTTAACAGTTGAACAGCATCACTCCAGTTAGTAGTGAGCCCACCTAGTGCCCAGATCTTGGTCTTAAATACCATTCATCAGTAAAAGGAACAGTTAGAAAAATGGCAGATTCTAGGACTGGGACAGGGAATACAAAAGATGAGCCTGGAGCATTTTGCAGTGCCAGAGAGCAAGGAAGTGCTCAAAGACAAATAACCCACAGTGATAGGAGCATATTAAGGGACACAGCACCTGAAGGAGCATCCAATGCCACTCCCATCCCATCAGATGCAGGATATGGTACTATTGACATGACTCATCATTGCTGATACTAACCTTAATCATCTGGCTGAGGCAGAATTTGTCAAGGTTTGCCACTGTGATATAATAAGAATGGCACTTTATCTCTGTGATCTTCCTACCACAGGAGCATAACCTCAATCTATTCATAAGGAAAACATCAGGCATATCCAAATTGAAAGGCATTCTATGAAATAGCTGATCAATCCACCTCCAAATGGTCAAGGTCATTAAAACAAGGAAAATGTGAGAAACTGTCATAGGTAAGAGGCGTCCAGGGAGACATGTTAACAAAACGTAGTGGTGTCCTGCATGCAATCCTGGAAGAGGAAAGGGCATTAGGTAAACAAACTAGAAAATATTTATAGAGATTTTAGTTAATAATAATGGATCAATATATTGAGTCATTAATTGTGACAAAGGTACCATACTAATAGATGATGTTAAAAACCAGGATAGACTGGGTATAAGTTATAGGAGGACTGTCTTTACAACTTTCCTGTAAATGTGAAAAACATTTAAAAATAGAAAATTCACCTTAAAATGACAGCCAAGGGCCTCCCTGATGGCGTAAAGGGTTAAGCACCGCCCTATGAAGCAACCCGCAGCCTCTGCAGCACGAGTTTGATCCCCCGCCTGCCAGGGAGCAACCCACATGGCACAGCAGACCTCTCCTGACTTGCCCCTGCTCCCCTCAGCAGTGTAGTTCAGTCAATCTGCCTGTTCTGTTCCCCGCTCTCGTGAATCCTCTTACCTCCTGCATCTCTGGCCTGTACCCCAGCTCTTGTATGCATAAATAAATCTTTAAAAAAATAAAATGGGGCCTCCCCTGGTGGCACAGCAGTTGAGCGCTGGGTTGTGAGGCTGCCCGCAGGCTCTGCAGCGCCGGTTCGATCCCCAGCCACTGGCGAGGGTCCCACAAAATAAATAAATAAATAATAAATAAATAAATAAATAAATAAAATAAAATAAAAAATAAAAACAGCTTCTTGAGCATCTGCTTTCTGTACTGAAATGCCCCTCAGAAGGTCACAGTCTCCAGAAGCAGCCCAGCCAGTGACTGAGCAAGCTGGGCTCAAAGGCTCAGCCATCTTTGCCAGTAGAGGGACAACTCAGATGAGAAATAGTTTCTCCAGAACTCCCCATGGGGTGAGCAGAGAACTCCCTCAGTCCAGTCCTGCTTCATTCCACTTCTCACTCTCTACTCAACATTTTGCACCCCAAGCTCCACTTTAACATCTGCTCCCAGTAATCCTAGAAAAGCCTCCTTAGGGAGCTCTCTCCAGCTATCCCTTTTGGAGCCTAAGAAGGAAAAGATAGAGGGAGAAATGGAAGGGGAGAATACTGGCCCCTGGGTGGTGGTGAGAGGAGGAATCCTTATGATGGCAAGAAGGTTCTGGCAGATGGTGGGGGGTGGGGTGGGGTGGAGAGGTAGGTGAATGGGAAAGGGACACTGTGCTAGAATAGCGAAGTGTTTCCCTGAGCTCCACCTCAGACTGGTATGCTGAAGATTTTGGCTCACTTGTTTGAGAAAAGCTTGATGTAGGACTCCAGCAGCTATAAAGTTACACTCTGGTCTTCTATGGCACCTGGTCGTCTATGTAGGTGGGGGTTTTGTCCTCCCCCATCTGCTCCATGCAGCCATACTATCTGTGGATTCTGGGCCTCTTGTCTTAACAGAAGCATTTTGCTTAGTATTAAAGATAACTCCCCTGGACTCCCAACTTCTGTTTAAATATAAAAACACATTTACTTAATGCCTTCTTTGTTATCATCTAGAGTTTATAATCATAAATTTATATCCTTATTTCAGACATATTCTAATACAAACAGCATCCTCATCATACTGTGACTTTTGCTTGCCCCGCAGCCCTTATCTCTTCTTTTGGAAAGAGTAGTTCCAAATATACCTGTGGCTCGGAATTTTGGTAGGCTCTACCAACAGGTATATCCATACTCATTGGCCAAGGAGAGAAGACTGACAGAAATTTGGAGAATGAAGGTGAGTCCTATCATTTTTTTTTAAGATTTATTTATAGGGCCTCCCCCGTGGCACAGCGGTTGAGTGCTGGGTTGTGAAGCTGCCCACAGCCTCTGCAGTGCCGGTTGGATCCCTGGCGGCTGGCGAGAGGGTCCCGCATGGCGCGCAGACCTCTCCTGCCGCCCGCTGCTCCCCTCAGCAGTGTACTTCGGTCCTTCTGCCTGCTCTGCTCCCCGCTCTGGCTCTGGTGAATTCTCTCACCCTCCCGCGCTTCTGACTATACCCAGTGCTTGTATAAATAAATAAATAAATCTTTTTTTTAAAAGATTTATTTATATATGCGTACAAGAGCTGGGGTACAGGCCAGAGGTGCGGGGGCTGAGAGGATTCACCAGAGACAGGGTGGGGAACAGAACAGGCAGATCTACTGAAATATACTGCCGAAGGGAGCATTGGGCGAAACAAGAGAGGTCTGCTGCGCCATGTGGATCAGCTCCGTGGCTGGCTGGGAATAGAACTTGGCTGGGTATCAGACTCCTGCTGCAGTGGCAGGCGATAGCTTGATAGCATTGTTTTTAACCCCTGCACCACCAGGGAGGCTTTAAGTCCTACCATTTTAGTGCTCAACGGGCAACTCCATGGATGTGCTGGTGAATGTTGATGGTATGGTCTCTGGTGACTACCTCATTGATGGAGGAATGGACCTTTTTCTTCTCACTGCCCTTCTTTGTGGGAGTCATTCTGCTGAGCCCAAACGTGAACAGATGTCCTTAACTATTTTATTTCTTTATATATTATAGAATTTTACATTTAGTTATTTCATTATAATGACATGATCTCATAGATAATATAAAATTTTCATTTATGAGGTAAATGTGAACTTCACGTTATAGGTAAAGATAGTGTGACTCAGATCAAATGATTGACTTGATATTATATGATTGGCTAATTCCAGTTCTAGAAATGTATTTTAAAGATGTATCCTTCACGTGTTCAAAATGACAAGCACAAGATTACTATTGCAGCTTCATTTGTAATAGCCAAAGATTAGAAACAATTCTGAATTTATCAAAGGGACTATTAAATAAGTGAAGATGATACATCTTTAAAAATATGAGGCAGCTGTATAAAAGAATGCAAAATACATTGTTAAATTTTAAAAACGTATAAAATGATATACATATTATGTTTTTCTTCTATAAAACATGGGATGGGAAGGAAATAAGAATATATATTTTTATTTGCATAAAATTGCTTAAGAAAACTCTGGAAAGATACACAAGAGACTAATGAAGTATTTACCACTGGGGGAGAGGAGTAGGGATTAGACAGATGGTAGAGAGTAGGAGACTTCATTCTATAACATCTTATGTTACTATTTTAAACATGTAAATCTATTACCTCTGAGACTGGTGATTTTGCCCCCAGTTTCCATTTATTATTTCTTCTTTTTTACAAATAGGGCCCCCCACTTAGTTTTAGGCAGACATATTGATGCTATATAACAGATTACATATCCTAACTTCTACGCGGCTGAGTATGTTTATTTAAGTGAGTTTTTGCAGTTGATTATGAGCACTGGTGATGTGTCCTATGCCTGTGCCACTTTATTTAAAGGAAATTGCTTTTCTTCCACCTCTTCTTTTCCTGCCCTGTGGCTCATTTGCAATATGGTTTGAGTAGAAGAGATAACATCACAAATTAGTGAAGCAACAAGATAGCAACAGGGAACATGGACTCTTGAATGACCTCTGAACTGCTCAACACCTCCTCAACTAGTTCACGAGAAAGAAATAAACACCAGTCTTTTTTTGGCTGAGTTTTGGGGTATCTCTATTACAGCAACATAGCCTACAACCAAACTAATGTGTCAATTTTAAAAATTGCCTACCTTATTATTTTTATTATTATATTTAGCAGTGCAGGGATATGAGCCCAATTGTTCTGACTTCCAAGTCTATGTGCTCCACTGCTGATGAATAGAAGCAGCCTTGCAGGGCTCTATTCTGTTCTCTTCTGAAGAAAGTATAGAACAATGAGGCATGAAGCATAATCTGCCAAAACTTTATAAACCAACAGATATTCACTTCTGTTGATCCAGGAGGGGCTAACTAAAGTAGATAAAAGAAACTTGAAATATAGTGCTGGTGGGCCTCCCCTGGTGGTGCAGCGATTGAGCACTGGGCTGTGAAGCTGCCTGCAGCCTCTACAGAACTGGTTCGATTCCCAGCCACCGGCGAGGGTTCCACATGGTGTGACAGACCTCTCCTGCCTTGCCCCCTGCTCCCCTCAGCAGTGTATTTTGTCAGTCTGCCTGTTCTGTTCCCCCGCTCTGGCTCTGGTGGATTCTCTCACCCTCCCGCGCTTCTGACTGTACCCAGTGCTTGTATAAATAAATAAATAAATCTTTAAAAAAATAATATATTAAAATATATATAGTGCTGGTGACTTTTGAAATCTAAGGTTGGAAAGGGAGAATTGGTGGCAAAGCAAATTGAACTTGGAGAAATTAACAAAAACAGATAAACACAATCTACTAGATGTTGGTAGATGAGGTATTAAGGAACTTATGACTGAAATAAGTAAAGGAAGTTTTACCTCATTTAAAAGGAACAAATTTACAAGAAGAGAGTTGAGGATGTAGAGTAAGTCGGTGTAGTAGAGAATATTAAGCTGGTGGAAATTGACGAAGATGGAATGGTAGGTTGCAATAGGTTGTGACAAAAGGTGAGGGATTAGACAGATGGTAGAGAGTATAGTATAGTAAAGTGTTGCTCTCAGAATAGACAGATATGTGTAATTCTCTTCTAAGTCAGTGGCTATATCTACTAGTAAGTGGCACTGGGGAAAAATGAGTGATACCAGGGCTAAAGGACCTGACCTGATTGCCAAAGAGAGTGGTCAGGAGGCCAAGTTAGCACACTCCTGGGAGCACCTTACTTCACAGCATACTCAATGTCACCAGATTTTAAAAGGGCATGTATTAAAGATAGTACAAGTCCATAAGGGTTAATACTTCCTTTGTGCACATAAATAAATTTTAAAATGAATACTAATAATTTTTACTAATTTTTTGTTTTTTAGCAAGAGGGTGAACAAGAGGAAAGACACTGCTTAGTGCTGATAATATAATGCGGTCAGATGATAAAGACAAGGTAAATCTCTTTAACTTTTGTCTTCTTTCTCAAAGAGAAAAATTCTATTTATGAAAAAAGCAGAATAAAGATAATGGAAAGTATAGTGAAATCCAATGTGGTAGATGAGCATCCAGTTGTTTTAAATTAAACTCTCTAAGTTTAAATGTTTTACCCATGAAAGACTACATAAGTGATTACAGACTCAGTATTAGTCCGTTCTGGGGAAGCCAGAGAAAAGAGAAATGCCTAAAGATTGAATGGGGCAAATATAGTGCTGATTTTCAAGGAGAATAAAAAGCAGCAGGGGTAGGAGAAATTTTGAGAATTATTCATAAATCTAACAATGTCTGGAATGAATTTTTGAACAAATATTTAACAGGGAAAGAAAGAGACTGAATTTCTGAAGGATTCAGTTTTTAAAATTTCCATCAGCATCTATCAATGTCTTTATGAAAAAAATTTTTTTTCTGCAGACATTCCAAATGAAGAAACTTAAATAAAGGGATCACAGTGGAACTATAAGCCCTTGCTAGTCTCATATGATCACTAAACCAATATTATCAACAACATGGGGCGTATGATGGAAATAGAGACTCTCAGACCCTACCCCAGACCTATTGAATCAGAACTTGCATTTTTAACCAGTGATTTCCCAAGTGATTCATATGTACAAAAATTTGAGGAACCCAGAGGCAGAGTTATAGAACAGTAAGGTAATAGCAAAGCACCCAAAGGAGAGTAACATTAAGAGGCCATTATCACTCCTAGTGTTGAAGGAACAAAGGAGAAAATTGTGAGACTGGGACTAGTGACAACATTAAAAACTACTGGATTGTATACTTTACATGGATGAATTGTGTGATATGTGAATTATATCTCAATAAAGCCACCAAAAAAAGATGAAAACAAATGCAAAACTTGCATGATGAAATCTCCAAAATAGTGAAAAAAGCAGTGGAAGTAAATGGGGCAATATATTCTGTTCATGAATTCAAAGATGTTAATCTTCTCTGATTATTCTATATATTTAATGCAGTCTAATTTAAACCACACTGTGATATTTTGTGGAAATTTATAAACTTGTTATAAAATTTAAGTAGAAAGTCAAAGTAACTAGTTTAGCTAAAATGATACCAAAAGAACAAAGTTGGAAAATTCATTTTTTCCTTATTTTTAAAGACTTATTATAGAGTTATAGTACCCAAGGCAGTGTGATATTGGCAAAAGGATGTACACACTGACCAATATACAGAGGAGAGAGTCTAGAAATAGGTAAAACTCATATATGCTCATTTGATTTTTGATTAAGTTACAAAGGCAATTCAGTGGAGAAAGGATAGTCTTTATAATGTGATACTGGAAAAAGTGTATAGAGGAAAAATGAAGTCTGATGCTTACCTCATACCATATACAAAATTAACTCAAAATATATTGTAGACTTAAATGTAAAAACTAAAGCCATAAATATCTAGAAGAAAAACAAAGGGCTGGCGTAAGTTTATTTGGTAGACACCAAAAGTACAACCTATTAAAAAAAATCAATAAATGACAGCCTATCAAATAAAAATCTCTCTTCTTTTTAAAAGATTCTTTAAGAAAATGAAATGACTAGACTAGCGATAAAATACTTATAAAGTACTATATCCAGCTTCTCTAAGAATATGGAAACAACCAATTGAAAAACAGGCAAAGACAGATAATCAAATGAGAAGGTGATAAGCAAAGGAGAAGATGATCAACATTATTAATCTTTGGAGAAATACCTTAAAACCACATTGAGATATCCCCGGCCACCGGAGGAGGGTCCCGCGCACAGACCTCTCCTGCAGCCCGCTGCTCCCCTCAGCAGTGTACTTCAGTCCTTCTACCTGCTCTGCTGCCCCCTCTGGCTCTGGTGAATTCTCTCACCCTCCCGCACTTCTGACTGTACCCAGTGCTTGTATAAATAAATAAATAAATAATATATATATATTAAAAAAAAAACACATTGAGATACCACTGCTACTAGAACCACTGGAACCCCCTACACCACCACAATAAATGTTCCATTTTATCATCTCAAAAAGAAATGCCATACCTCTTACGTCTCTAGTCTCTATTACCTCATCCCCCTTAGAACTGAGAAACTGCTAATCTACTTTGTCTCTATAGATTTGCCTAACCTAGACATTTATAAATGGAATGATATAAGAATTAGTCTTTCATGATTGACTTATTTCACATAGAATAATACTTAAAAGATTCATGTATGTTGTATCAGTTATCACTACTTAGTTCATTGTTGTGGTCAATTAGTGCTCCATTGAATGGATGTACCATTTTCTTACTCATCAGTTGGTTAACATTGGGATTGTTTTGACCTTTTAATTATTATGAATACTGCTGTAAACATTCCTGTTTAAGTTTTTGGAGGGCATATTTTTAAATTTAATTAATTTCTATGTATTTTACATCACTGTTCAATGTACAATTTTTGTACAATGTTTGCTTTCTCCTCTCAGGTGAGTCCCCATAAAATTCCCACCATCAATTCACTCATGAACCATCACCATAATCCCTCCCCTATTTTTCTCCCTCCCCCTCCCCCTGTGGAATGCTAGAGAATATACATTTAAATTTCTTTGGTGTACATACCTAAGAGTGGTATTTTGAAGTCATATGGTAACTCTATGTTTTACCATTTGAGGAACTGCCAAACTGGTTTCCAAAGTGGAGGTACCATTTGACATCGCCACCAAAAATGTATGATCTGCCTTCTCTACATTCTTAATAACACTTGTTAGGTGATTTTTTTCTGTAGCCATCCTACTTAATATGAAGTGGAATCTCCTTCTAAAGATGTCAAGAATCTTTTTGTGTTCTTATTGGGGAATGAGATGGTAAATGCCTATTGGATAATTTGAGTAGAGTTTAGTAAAAAGCCTATTTACAAAGTATAAAGAGATCACAAGGGTTGCTTGAGGGGAGTAACTGTGACTTTTGGTTAAAGAATGCAGCTACCCTGCACTGTGCTTGTGCCAAGGCAAGGGAGCCTGGGGAAATAGAGAGTGACCCTCCTCTCATTGTTAAATTGCTCTTGCTCAGCACTGCCTGACTCAACTGGAAACTAAGGGAAAGAAACCCTTTTTAGTTCAGGCTCTTGAAGATAGAAAGAAGGATGGAGAGTGGCTCTGACAAACAGATGTCCTTCTTCACATTCATTGTTTTTTTTTTTTTAATAGAGGTATGTTTTATTTATTTGTTTGTTTGTTTGTTTATACAAGCACTGGGTACAGTCAGAAGCGCGGGAGGGTGAGAGAATTCACCAGAGCCAGAGTGGGGAGCAGAGCAGGCAGAAGGACCGAAGTACACTGCTGAGGGGAGCAGCGGGTGGCAGGAGAGGTCTGCGGCCATGTGGGACCCTCCTCCGGTGGCCGGGGAGCAGCCAGGGATTGAACGGGCACTGCAGAGGCTGCGGGCAGCTTCGCAACCCAGCGCTCAACCACTGCGCCACCAGGGAGGCCCTTCACATTCATTGTTACTACTCTATTTTACAATAAGAAAAAATGAGATGAAGAAAGGCTAATTTGCTTGATGTCACAAAGCTACTAAGTGATAATGTAGAGTTGAAGTGTTGTGTTCTCCCCATTCTACCACGCTCCCTTTAGGGCACTGACACTGAGCAATGCCTGAGTACCTACCCTTCCCATAGTATCCTTATCTTTGCAAGTCTTTTTTTCATTTTGTTCCCTTGGAATCTCCTCCTTGCTTCTTCCCTGTTCCACCTCCAGCATGCTCCTTCTACAGTGCTTTAAAATCCCACAATTCATATATTTTCTAGCATTTGGCTCATTTTCAGAGTTATTCAAATATATTTCTCTTGCACCTGGTTAAGAGTTGGAAAGACTAGTCGTCCCCGGTGGTGCAGCAGGTTGAGCCCTGCTCTTTGAAGCTGTCTGGCAGCCTCTGCTGCGCGGGTTCAATCCCAGCCAGCTGGAAAGATATCACATGGCGCGGTAGACCTCTCCTGTCTCGCCCACTGCTCCCCTCAGCAGTGTCTTTGGTCTGTCTGCTTGTTCTGCTCCCCGCTCTGTCTCTGGTGAATTCTCTCACTCTCCTGCATCTCTGGCCTGTACCCCAGTTATTGTATAAATAAATAAATCTTAAAAAAAAGGAGAGTTGGAAAGACAGCAATGGTGCAGTGGTAGTGCCTGCTGGTCCTGCCCACTGGGCTTCCTGCTGCTTCTTACTCAGTTGACTGATATACAGTTGCTTCAGCTTCCAGTCAAAATGCTGGGCACTTGGAAGGCTCCAGTTTCAGATATGCTTACATTAGAGAATGATTTGTTTAATTCTCCCCCCAAAAAAACTGTTCAGTTTGGTGGAACTGTGGTAGAAGCCTTACTGAAGAACAAAAAGGATAAAACAAATGACTTCTAGATGTGGAAGAAGCAGCTGTCAGATACAGACATAAATGATGAGCAGATCATTGACTGGCTACTAGAATTCCATTCTTCCTTCATGGCCTTTACCAAAGATTGAACAACTTACCAATAGTCCATTGATACTGCAGTGGTTGAACAGAAATCCTACAGTGGTGGGGGGCTATTGGGCTTTTCTTGGTGGTTTTGGAACAGCACATATTGCCTTCTTTAGACCATGTCTCAGCATGATTCTCATTTTGTTCCTTCCCAAGTGGTCTTTATGTAAGGTGATACAAATGTTTTGGATTCTGATGACAAAGATAATCATCTTCCTGTAAAACTTGACCCACCATGGAGCTTTGCATATATTAGCAAGAGATATCCATTAACACCATGGTTTCTTTGGGCTTTTATACATACAAGATTTGGGTTTTTATACATACAAGAGCTGGGGTACAGGCCAGAGATGCGGGGGATGAGAGGATTCACCAGAGACAGAGTGGGGAGCAGAACAGACGAGACAGGAGAGGTCTGCTGTGCCATGTGGGTCACTTCCCTGGCAGGGGATTGAACTCGTGCTGCAGTGGCTGCCAATAGGTTCATAGTGCTGCAACT